GACTGACCTACGTGGCATGACTAGCTCTGATGTGGACATGATAGCATTTTATTATTTTTTCGAATTTTTAATTTTTCTTTTCTTTTCTTTTCTTTCCTTCCTTTTTTTTTTCAAACCTCGCCGGCCAGAGGTGAGGGCCAGCGACTCTCGCTTGGGCTGGGCGAGGTTGTCGCGGCCTTTGCCTGCCACAGGCAAGGGCATCAACACCCTCACGTAATTCTAGGCGAGGGCGAGGGCACGCCTGTTGGCCGGGGAGGACCACGAGCCCCTCACCTAGATCTTGTATAATCTAATTCACATGGTCCCATTATAGGGTTTGTCGAACGGTGACCTACAAAGATTGACAATGCCGGAGAAGGATGAGGCATTCAACCTCAATAATGTGGGGTTTGCTGGGATTTCGCCGAAGAGTCTGTTGTTTGTGACATTAAATATGATCCGCGAAAAAGAGGAAGATGAATTAAGCAATTCCAAAAATTAAGTTAAAAAGCATTGTTTTGAGTAAAATTGTCCATGTCCGACCACCGACGGTTGTGACAAGTAGAATAACGGGCAATGATTACATCTAGCGATGACTGAAGCGTAATGTCAGCAATTTCATGCAAGACTTTATTAGGAAAGGCTTGATCGCATTTTCATTCAAAGTTTAGCACTATATTGAATTAATTGAATTGTTTATGACTAAATTCAGATTTGTACAGCAGGCTTAGGGCTAAAATTACACTTTTCCCAAAATGTGATGTAAGAGAATAAGATGAGATTTTGTATAATCTAGTTATAGTTTCGTAGAAGAGTATCATACTTTATGAATGCCTAACATTGATATGTGGCAAGAAAAAATGTTATGATGTTAAGATTTATGAACACGTAAAATATAATTCCAACGACTTTTAGTGTACATTTACGAAAGGTGTATTTGAAATATGTTTGTTCAAAAAGTAAAATATTAAAATAAAAAAATATAAATTATCTATTTTTAAATTCAATCTTTTTTTTGTTTAAATATTTTATTGCAAGTTGCAAATTGAACTTTATAGTTTGGTAATATTTAAGTAACAGTAGTTGTTTATTCCATATATATCCTCATAATAATTTAATTCTTTGTGTTATAAATTAGCTTTAATTTATTTAAATTATTTTATTTCACAAACTAAGTGAAGTTATTTATTTAATGTAATTCTTCTAGTATACTAAATCAAATTCTTTGAGGAAAATCAATAACACTTTAGTTAGCGAGAATATAGTTATCAATTATATATTAGAGCGGATTGGAATGTTTTAAGTTTTTCTTTTTTTAACTCTTTTCAAAACTAAATTGATTGTAAGATATCAATTAAGTGAAATAGATGTAACGAAGTAGAGTATATTTGATTCTTAGTCAATGAATTTTTTAATCAAGTGAACTACATGTAAAGAAATAGGTTATATTTGAAATCATAAATGTAATTATTTTAATAACTGATATTTATTTTTAGAGGTGAGATTTGATAAAAAAGATGTAACTTATAGTTTCAAATTTAGATGGTGCATTTAAATAGAGAACATTATATTTTATATTAAATGGATTTCCTAGAATTCACTATTGTAATTTATTAAAAAATAAATAACATCACTTTAGTATCATTTAAAGATACCTTAATCTTTTTATTCAAATTTAATTTCAAATATTCGAACTGAAGATATATTATTTAAAAGTTGTGTTACTAAAATTGAAGTCAACGAACTTTGTGAACTTCCTTAGCCGCTATAATTTTTTTTTGATGCATTAATTTGTATTACTAAGATAAAATATTTAGATTCCTTCAGTTTGATCTACTTTTGTTTACTTTTCTATGAAGAGGTTTTCTTTATTTTTACTATTCCAATATTCCAAAGTGAGCAATAATATGTGAGAATGTATTTAGAATCAATTTCTCCTTATCTATTTTTTTTCTACTTTAAACTCAAATATTTGAATTGTAATAAAAATACAGGAGTTGCGTTGCTGAGCCTTTTTTGCACCTCACAGGATATAAGTCATTAATATATGCAAAACAGTAAAAAAAATTATTATTTTAGATTCAAAAGCACGTTTTTTTCAATGAGATCCCATCTGATGTTTTTTTAGTCATGAAATGACAATTCAAGGGCCCGGAAGGTACAATCTTCTATGGAATAGCACGAGCTTTAATTCCTCTTTAAATACAATTCGAGGGCTTAAGGCTTCTTTTTTTCATTTTATATTCCTGTACTTTGAAGTTCCTGTACGAGAAATTTGGTGGGCCCTGAGTAAGCTCACCTGGGAAATCCTGTGAGGCCCGTTTGGTTCAGCTTTAGGAATGAGCTTTCGGCCTCGAAAGCCCCTTCCAAAATCTTTGAACCTTTGGTTCAGCATTCGGCCTAGCATTGGCCAAATGCTAGCATTTGAAATGCTGAACCAAAATTTTTTATCCCCAAACTACCCTTACTTATTTTGGCTTATTCCGGTTTTGCCCCTCTTGATACTGTTCATTTTCTTCGTGAGGTGGCTGACGAGGGAGGCCGGCGAGGGCGGCCGACACCGGATCGGGCCGGCAAAGTTGCACAACCCAGGCGCCGGTCGCTTGGGTCGCGCGACCCTCGCCGAGGGTCGCCTGGCCTCCGGCGATGACCGCCAGCGGCAGATCTAGCTCGCCGGGGGTCGCCCGACCTCGGGAGACGGCCGCCGGCGCCAGATCTAACTCGCCGGCTCCGGCAAAGGGTAGGATAGGTTTTTTTTTTTAATAAAAAAGTTAATTCCCAAAGCCCTTTGGCAAAAAAAAATTTACCAAATACTACTTGGGCCAAAGTAGCTTTACAAATGATTTTTTACCATACGCCTCTTGCATTTCCCCAAAAGACTTTAACCTAAAGGTATTTGCATTCCCCCAAGTAGCATTTTAAAAATTGAACCAAATGGACCCTAAACCCATAACCTCTCCTATTTGGAGGAAGGGAGTTTCGAACTCTCACCTCTCCATTCCCATGGCCATCGGGGCAATTTGAGGGCCTTAGTGGCTTGATCTCGAATCAAATAACACGATCTTTGATTCTTTTTCACAAATCGGATTTAAGGATTGAAAGCTTCTTGATCTGAAATATAAGATGGCCGAGGTCTTGATAATTGAATCCGACAGTCTCATGTTTTGAAGTTCTTTAATTTTGAAGAACTTGATAGCAACTCCACAAAATTTAAAGTCCATCCGTCCGTCCCAAAACGAATAAAGATGCCTCTTATTTATAGAGAGGATGTAAGGAGTCTTTCATCCTTGGGATTGCTCTTGATTAGTGAAAATTAAGATTGTAAAATTACAATTGACATTTTGACCTATATTTACTTTTATTTAAATAATATCATATCCATTTTTTATTTGATACAGATAAGTGTTAATTTGATGTTTGCTCATCCATCGACCGATATCTTCGTTGAAGTTTAATTGTTAAGCTATGAGTACATATGCTAATTTGATTGGATAATTGCGTTTGCCAATAAGAACTGTTAAGCACTGAAACATTTATGTAGAATTTTTATATTTGGTTCAAACTTGTCGCTATTTACAAAAACATTTAAGAAATGGTTAATATCACGAAAAACCCTAAATCGGTACACTTGTGACAATTTTATCGAAAATTAATTTTTTGACCACCAAAAATCCTAAATTGGTACATTTGTGATAAATTTACCTTCCGTCAATTTCCGTTAAATTGGATTATTACCACGAAAAATCATAAACCGGTACACATGTGACAAACATAGGGTAAAATCTCAAACCGGTACATCCGTCAACTACCACATGTTATTTAACTCAGTAATTTGAAGGTAAAATTTAATGGAAAACTAAGGTAAAATTGTCATAGGTGTACTAGTTTGGGATTTTTGGTGGTCAAAAAATTAATTTGTGGTAAATTTATCACGAATGTACTAATTTAGGGTTTTTCGCGATATTAACCCTTTAAGAAACTATGTTGAAAATAAGCCGGGTAGTGAAGAGTCTCTACTTTATATTTTCTTGAATTTGAACTTAATAAGAGATAAAATCTCCATATACTTTCTCTTTATCCAATTTCTAAAATTTATGGTCAAAACAAATAGAATATAGAAATTGAGAGATAATGAAAATGCTTTATCTAATTTATCGTTTTTTTTAGTTTAAACTCAATATATATTTTTTTATTATTTTGTTACATCAATAAGAGAGAGAATCTAGCGGATGACAAAATCATCGAGCTGAAAAAGATTGTTAGTTGAATGTGCGCTACATGACAAAAATGTGACACATGTCACGTGGCAAGCACAGAGGCAAAGTATAGTGCCACCTGGTGAGCAATAAAGCAGATATTTTTTCGAATCCGGCTTTAATAACATACCATAGAACAGGTAATAGATGTCCAAAATTTATTGGAATTTAATTTATGAGTAGCAAATGAGGTATTTTCAAAGGGTTCCGGATAAATTAAATACCGTTTCATGTTCCGTTTGAATTGGCCGAAATTATTTCGAACTGCCACAATTCACATAAACATTTCGTATTAAGATAATCGACTTCCAAAATATCTTTCTAGCAAAGAAGTCACATACCGAACTTCATCCAAAATACTGACTCGCTACGACGCCAAGCAATTCTCCGAAAGGAAAATTATATTCGAACACCGTCGATTCATGCGAGCCAGACTCGCATTCACAACGAGAGACGAGGTAGGTCGAATACGATACCCACGCGACCTTTCGTCCTCGTTTTTTCAAGTTGTTCGCATCGACGAAAGAGCACCCCAAAATTACCTCTTCGTTCGAGGCAGGGAACGAAGCTCGGCAACTCGGAATCGGCCATCACGAAATCCAAAGAGAGGGGCCAAAGGGAAGAAATTAGGTCAAAAAAGTTCTACAAAAGTGAAAAGGAGGCCCCGGGCGGGGTAAATCGGTAATTCCACCTCCCCCCGTGGTTTTTTGACCTTTTCCGTGTAGATATATTCTTCCATCAGTAGCGTAGCGCCACCACGGCCCCCTTCCCCCACAACCCCTTCAAGAACGGACCCAAGAACCCACAGGAATCTTCGCAGCTCTCGAGCGAGGACCAAGGGAGGAAGCGCAGAAGGAGAGATCTCTCTCTCCCTTCCCACATCTCGCTCTCTCGCCTCTTCTGGGTGGTGGGTCTTGTCGCTACCCGCGGTTTCTTTGAGGCGAGCGAGGTCGATTCTTGAAGGAGGAAGGAGGAAGGAGGAAGGAGGAGGGGGTGGCCATGGCCGAGAGAATCACGGGGAAGGTCAAGTGGTTCAGCGACCAGAAGGGGTTCGGGTTCATCACCCCGGACGACGGCTCCGAGGATCTCTTCGTCCACCAGTCCTCCATCCAGTCCGAGGGCTTCCGCAGCCTCGCCGAGGGCGAGACCGTCGAGTTCCAGATCGAGTCCGACGGCAACCGCACCAAGGCCGTCGACATGACCGGTCCCGGCGGCGCCGCCGTCCAGGGGAGCGGCCGCGGCGGCGGGGGCAGCAGGGGCGGCGGCGGCGGGGGCTACGGCGGCGGCGGCGGCGGCAGGGGCGGGGGCTACGGGAGCAGGGGCGGCGGGGGCTACGGCGGCCGGGGCGGCGGGGGTTACGGCGGGGGCGGCGGCTACGGCGGGGGCGGCTACGGCGGGGGCGGCTACGGCGGTGGCGGCTACGCCGGTGGTGGCTACGCCGGTGGCGGGGGAGGTAGGTACGGAGGCAGCGGCGGGGGAGGAAGGTACGGGGGAGGAGGAGGAGGCGGCGGCGGCGGAAGCTGCTACAACTGTGGGGAAGTAGGGCACTTTGCCAGGGAGTGTCCCGGGAATGGTTGACTGAGGTAACGATAACCCAGATGGGTTAGGTCCATAAAAAAATCGTCTTGGCTTGGCGACTGTCTCTCTTTTGCTGGTGGGTGAGCTTGGTGAACTGTTTTTGGTACATGGGACTTTTCATGTTTTTGTCATCTGTTTCTCTCTGTTAATTTCGTGTGTTCCTGTGGGTCGGTTAACGCTTAACCCTCAAGAAGATGTGTGATTTTCTACTGGGTGAATGCTGTTTCTCTTTCCATGTTCTAGTTATTGTGACCTGTTGTTGCCTTGCTGGATTTGAGCCTTCCATGGCTGGTTGGACTGGACTGTGAATTTGCAGGGGATGAATCGTGAATCTCTGTTCTGATTTTACTCGAATGCTCTCTCTTGAAGAGGGTGGGGGTTTCATAGGGATTGCCATCCATTTTTCATTGGTGTTTGGTTCCACTTTTCATAGGTTGCAGGGGATGAGTGGTGATCCTTTGATGGTTCTGATTTCACTCAAATGAACTCTCTTGAAGTGTGTGTTCATAGAAATTGCCATTCATTTTGGTTGGTGTGTTGGTTCAGCTTTCAGTTGGATTGGTCCATAGTTCTCCTTTGGCTGTTCCTTGGTGAGCTCATTTGATTTGACAGACAAGTGTCTATCAACATTTAATGGCCATTGACAGGGGGTATGAGATTCAAGACTATTGTGATTGTTAAGTCCTAACTAATGTTATCTCATGTAGTATAAGCATGGATTTTGTCAAAGAGCAACCCTAAGCACTCCCTAACTTACATATAAGGAGATATTGGGGTGTTTACTGTATCAATTTTTCTCTTGATATATGTGATGAATCCTCTGGAAACCAAACCCTTATCAAGCATGAGTAAGATCAACATGACTCGATCATAGATCTTTGATTTCCAGAGGATTCTTTCTCAGCAAAAGGAATCCCAATCCTGTGGAAATCAAACTCTTGTCAAGCATAAGTACGATTAACGTGACTTGAACATGTATGTTTAGGGAGAGAATATTCTTTGCGATGATGCTAGTGACAAGGATTCGAAGGGAGACTTTGTGTTTGCGTGGAATGTGGTTGCCAATGTTCTGAAACAGAAATGAAAAGCAAGTGAAAGTGATGTGCGCTTGGGCCTTTAAAATGTTCTCTTTTCTGATGGAGGGGGGAATCAAAGATGGAGGAAATCTCGAGTGCTTGCCTTTGTTTTGGTAGAAGCTTGGTAGAAAAGGATTGGGAACATTTATTAAAATAATGCAGAGCCTAAAAGACACCCAATTATAGGAGAACACTGTTCTTAAAGTCTTGGGATCTTTTAGGTTTTGGGTCTCTGTGGTCCATCATCATCCGTATTTCAGCGATTAAAGGGGGGGACTACAGAGTTGGCTGGAAAGTGGGGTTCTAGGTTTTTCTCATGGGTCATCCCCCAAAAAGGTGTTTCTCATTGGTTCATTTATCTTTAAAGTAGATGCATGACCGAGTGCGTAAAGTAGGTTTGATGATTTCGGTCATTGGTGGGCATTTTTGCGAATCCGATTCTTGATACTGGTGACCGTTCGATCACATAAGAATACGTTTTGGTCATTTTGTCGAAATCTTTTGAAGTGCTTTCGTAGTAGGGTACGATCTTTTTAGGACGAAGGATACGTCTTTTGGAGAAATGTTCAAAATTCCTAACGTCGTCGAACGGGGATTTCACAGATTTCGTTTACGGGGGACCAAGAACGGGACCAACAGTATGTCACTTGATACTTGTAGATTTCTTTTTGAGTTTTATCACGACCTTCTTTGGAAAGTATCCGTTTTGGTCCTTATTTTCCATTGGATAGAGTCAAATTGACCTTTTCCTCTTATCTAAAGGGCCAACTCAATCGTTTGGCCAAGAAAAAAGAGGGACCAACTCAGTCGCTATCGAGTTGATGTCGTGGGGACTGCCAACCACGTTCACATTGAAATTTGCTTCTGTGTCTTTAAAAATGTAGAGGTTTCCCTCTATCGTTGAGGCTTCGGCCTCAGGAAGGACGCTTTTCAGAAGCGAAATTGTGAAATTTAACACCTACTTTTAACAAGCTTTGGTGGGTCTGTGTCAGTGTCGATGTCTAGCAATTTCTAAGAAGGTTTAGAATAAAAAAGAACGAGTCCTTAAAAGGTTTCATCTCGGTTTAATCCCGATCACGAGATTACCGGGATGTAAAACAATAAGAGGGTATTTTCTTATCTTAAGGAAGACAAATATATGGAGGGAATTGACGGTGCAAGGCGTGCGGGCACCAGCTTCCTGCATCCTTGCAACCCGCCGGGTTATCGGACAGGCGGAGGAGGCCCTGCAAGAAGAAACTCCCTTTCTTTGGATCTCGTATAGCAAGTCATTGGTGCGAATTTTTATCTCTATAGACAACTAGGATGTCGGGTCGATTCGTTTTTCAATGTCGGATTGGGCCCTGTGGTGTCAATTCTAGGAAACCTGAAACCTGCAAACAAGTCAGGTAAACCTTGGAATATGGCCGGGTAAACATGATAATGGGTAGACCTTAGAATTGGGCCATGTTAACTTCTTGCATGCCCATAGTTCGTAGGAGCTTGTTTGACCTAGCTTACTTGCAACCGTTATAATTGCCAATTGGGTGAAGTTCTGCGGCTTTTATAATGTGTTTGGCAAACTCCTCGGAGTTGCAATACCCGCGCGAACTGCTGCAATTTTAAAACATGTGTTACGAAAAGCCCAAGTCACAACACGGCACGACTCAAACACAACCATCATGGTTATAGCATAGCCACAGCTATAACCGTGAAAAAAGAGAGAGAAGGGAGTTGGAGCGTGGGGAATGGCGGTGCCGGCGTTGACGGAGGAGAGAGGTTTGAGACGGCGGCGGCGATGACCGCCAATGGGAAGGTGGTGGCATATTTGGGGGTTTGGCCGGTTTGAGGCTAGGGATTTTCAGGGCTTTTAGAAAATGAAGCTGTTCTCATCATTTCAAATGGGCTAAAGAATGAAAAATGCATTTTGAATCGTACAGACATGTAATCGGTGGTTAAGTGAAAATTGAGGTATTTTTTTTATATTTTTTTTTTTCTTTTGTCTTTTTTCTTGAGGACTCTTCGGTGTCAAACTTGATGGAGAGGGAAAAAAAAAAAACTCGGTTGGCACTCGGTTTTCAGTCGGTTTATGAAATTTGGTCAGGCCGATTCTCTCCATTAGATCTGATTAATGGCAGGTCTAAGTGGGCTCAAGCTGGTCGTGCCTAATGAAAATCATGACTGTCAGCTCATGTTGGGTTAGGCTCAGTCGGTATCAAGCCTAAAGGCCCTTGCCTAGGTCGCTTATGCTCAAAATAAATTCGACCAATGTTCTTTAGAATTTGAGATAACGATATAAATAGTCCTTAAACTTTGGTCAAATGTACAATATGTTCTTTGAACTTTTAATTTGTTCAATTTAGCTCTTAAACTTTAGCCTAATGTGCAATGTATTCCCCTAATTTTCAATTTGTTCAATGTGGTTCATGGACTTTTGGTGCGTAATCAATTTAGTCCTTGAACAATATGAAAATGTTCAATATTGTCCTTCCGTCAATTCAAGTTCATGAACAACATTGAACATTTTTATGTAGTCCAGTGATTAAATTGAACATTTTCCAAAAGTCCAGAGGTCACATTGAATAATTTGAAAGTTCATGGATCATATTGCACATTGGGTTAAATTTCAGGGACCCTATTGAACAAATTAAAAGTTTAGAGACCACATTGCACATTGAGTGAAAGTTCAGAAACCATTTGTGTTATTTTCCCTTAGAAATTCGATTGTCGGACCGAGATGAACCTCCTTAGAGAGGTCGTGCTTGTTGCTCGTCTAGGCTTGTTCATTTGATAGAATTAATCGAACTAGGCTTTAACAACCAAGATTCACCGTCCATCTTTTGTGGTACAAGGTTTACAATCGTGAAGTAGTTTTAAGAATCTAGAGTCGAGAAGCAAGACAAACCGGTTCTATGTTATTCAAGATGAAGTTCTAGCTGGTTCACTCGGAACTCGGGTTTGGAACGTTAGTGAAATTTTTTCGACAATCACCGATCAGATCATGAATGTATGAGGCATGCAAGTACTATCCTTAAGGATCATTTCCGTCCTTGAGGCAGCTAAGAAAACATTGGGCAAAAATTCAGATATTATTTGTGTCATTTTCCCTTAGAAATTCGATTGTCGGACCGAGATGAACCTCCTTGGAGAGGTCGCCGTTGCTTGTCTAGGCTTGTTCATTTGATAGAATTAATCGAACTTGGCTCTAACAACCAAGATTCATCGTTAAGGCCCATCTTTTATGGTACAAGGTTTACGATTGTGAAGTAGTTTTAAGAATCTAGAGTCAAGAAGCAAGACAGACCGGTTCTATGTTATTCATGATGAAGTTTTAGCTAGTTCACTCGGAACTCGGGTTTGGAACGTTAGTGAAAATTTTTCGATAATCACTTATCAGATCACGAATGTCTAAGATATGCAAGTACTGTCCTTAAGGATCATTTCCGCCCTTGAGACAGCCAAGAAGATAAGTCGCGGTTATACTGCAGGATTCAACGGACTTTTTCCATTCGGTAATTTCCCATTTTGAGCTCGTAACTACGTAGATTGAATCTGTCCGATGCCATGATTTCGGACTCTAGAACGAAAGACGATAGATGGCCTTACTCATTCGCAGTTCTGTGTCCTCGTAAGTAATTGAGTTAGGAAAGTGGGCTTTTAATCATTTTTTGGGCTCTCTCTCTCTCTAAATGGGGAATTTGTTTAAGAGCCTGGGTCTAGTGGGAGAAAGGATAGATGTGATGGATTTAGTCAATAGCCCATCGAACTGTGGTGTTTATATGCTGATAAGATACCAAGCGGTCCTATTGGTAAAGGGATTGGGGGCAGGGCTGAAGAGTATCATGGGGGTTCGATTTCTGTGAGCACCGCGCACACATATACATAGACGAGAGGAGTGAGACCAAAAAACAAATACTGCTGATAAGATCACCTATAAAAAAAATGAGTCGTGCTCCATATCCAGTACATACTATGTGGTGTGAGTAGAAAGACTAAGATTGAGCATTTAAATCGGTGGTCCGGTGGTCAAGCCTACCCCATCTATTTCTAAATCAATTATGTAAATTGTTCCCCATATACCCGGCATTGCTCATGGAAAAGTACTAACTTAATCCATGGGGTGAGTTCCCTAAAAAACCCCCACTTTAGATTAAGTTCCAAATCTACCCCTAACTTTTTTTTGTCTCAATAAATACCCCAACCTTTAGGTCTAGTCCCAACTATGCCATGAACTTTTTTTTGTCTCAGAAAAAACCCCAAACTTTAAATTCAGTCCCAAATCTATCTCAAATTTTGTTTTGTATAAAAAAATCAGCAAATTTCAATTTATTTTCAAAAATATACCCCGTGATCCAGTCCCAACTTGACATGACACTTCCACATCGATAACAAATCCGCATCAACAAAGTAATGGGGCGATAGCTACATACCGACGTCGCATTTCCACTTCGATAACAAATCCAACCCAATAAAAATTGTTGAAATTCCCCAAAATAAAACCGTTATAGGATATGAAAGTAGGGACGATAACAAATCCACCCCAATTTTTTTTAATTTAAAAAAAACCCAATTTTTAGGTTTAGTCCTAATTTGTCTCGAACTTTTTTTTGTCTAAAAAGAAGCCCCGTTACTTTGTTGATGTAGATTTGTTATCGACGTGGAAGTGCCAAGTCAAGTTGGAACTTGATCACGGGGGTATATTTTTTAAAATAATTTGAATTTTGGCATTTTTTTTACACAAAAACAAAATTTGAGGCAGATTTAGAATTGGACTCAAAGTTTGGGATTTTTTTCTGGGACAATTGGGACTCAAAATTTAGAATTGGGACTCAAAATTTGAGGCAGATTTAGAATTGGGACTCAAAATTTGAACGTAAAGTTTAGGGTTTTTTCTAAGACCAAAAAAAGGTCGGGTCAGATTTAGGGCTTGACCTAAAGTTGATGATTTTTTAGGGAATTAGGCCCTAATCCATGAAAAGATGCTGCCACTCATTCTTCCTCCCTCATTTTCGTTCTTCTACTTAAATTTGCAATGATAATTATAACATTTCAATTGTCTCGATATCAAAACTTGGGTAAGGGCAAAATTCAACCTTTATGTTGAAAAAAGAAGACAAAAGAAAAAGAAAAAGGTGTGCTCAAAAGCCTGCGACATGGACCTGTACATATGTTTTTTTTTTTTGTTGCTAAAATGGACCTGTACATATGAACATGTAGACATGTCTCCCCGATGGAGATATTGGTCCCTATGTTTCATTTATTTATTTTCAAGAATTCTGGCCAGAGACTATAATGGACTGAAATTGACTTGAACTGAAAAGACAAAGACCTTTCCTCGCACCTAGTGTTGCATGCGCATGTAAAGAGATTGGTGCTTTCCAAGAAAGTAAGGCTCATACGCACACACTTATGTTCTTCAAAATTCAATCGCAGATCCCCAGAAGAGAGAATCATGAGATTCCAAGCAAAAGGAGCCAAAGGCAAAAACCATGCCTTCACCACCCAAAGTGGAAGCATGACAGTGTTCTCAAAGCCTGTTTCGAAGCCTTCGAAACCATTTGCCGTCGCTCTCTTTGCTTCTTTAATTATTAGGGTTTCGTCTGACCCTGTGCAGTGTGCACCGATATCTTTTTCTTGCTGAGAAAAGGGGTCTGAAAAAGAGTAGATGAAAAACGAAAGGTGCTCCTTAGTACGCTCTTGCTCCGCTCTCTCCGCTGCATGCAGTGACTTTGGTCCATGACTGATCGTTTTCAAGAGCCTAGTTGCCCTAAATATATATATATATATATATATATATATATATATATATATATATATATAGAGAGAGAGAGAGAGAGAGATTGGAGGGAATCACGAGGACAAAAGTTCTTTGAGATTATGGACTTGATAATCAATGGAACTGCAGCATTTTTGTCCTTTATGTTTCCTCCAGTGATCTTGTAAAGTTAAAGCAATGTTAACTCCAAGTTCTCTCCTAAGAATGATCTGATCATATGGTTAACTCAACTATGTAGGTTACAACATGGTGAATTATGTCATTTTTGGTGTCACCGGTGAGTACCCATCTCAAAGAAAAGGGAAAATAACCAAAAAAATCCTAAACATTTTAATTGTGTCAATTCGGTTTTAGACCTTTTGACGATTTGTTAATATTATTTTTTCGGCCAATTTTGACAGGAAAACGCTAACATAGCAATTGTGGTCAACGCTGACATAGACAATTTTTAAACAAAAATTCCGTTTTTCCTTTTTCTATTTTGTTTCTTTCTTTTTCGCCGGTGGCCTGCGAGGGTCACCTGCACCGACCATAGGCAAGGGCAGCCCTTGCTAGATTTGGGCAAGGGCGTGACCCTTGCCAGTGGCCCACGAGGGCTTGCAAGCATTGCCCAATGGTCGGCGAGGGTTGCCCGTCTCTTGCAAGCCGCAATAAAGAAAAAAAATAGGAAAAAAAAAATTCAATTTTTTTTAAAAATTTGCAAAAAATGTCCATGTTCGTGCCATTTTGCCACATAGGTAAGCCGGAGTCCACATCAGTGATTTCCAGCCAAAGTTGGCTGGATGGACTATATTGATAAACTATCAAAAGATTTATAATTCAATTGGTTATGTTAAAAGGTTTAGGACTGTATTAACATAAATGCAATAAATTTAGGATTTTTTTGATAATTTTCTCCAAAGAAAATATAGGTGCTTCATTAACTCGAACTAGTGTTATCTATAACGGTTTGTTCAAGTGATTACTATTCCTTTTTCTTTTACTATGAATGCAACCATCGCGATATTTATGCTTTCGCAGATCAACGAATCATCGTCTCTCCTTAACATACATATCGCTACACATTTGAACTTCGATAATATTGGAACATCACTTCGTCAACAAATCAACGAGGTAAAGAAGAGGTGCAGCTTAGACAACTTTCTGAAGGCACGTCGGGATGCCCCCAGAGAGATAGTCATCTTGTAATAAACTTTATTTGACATGGCAGTCTTCGAATCATCACGATCGAACTGTCTGTCATGTACTTGGCAAGTTGACAGCACTTGAATTAAAGTCGAAGTTTCTACCCAACATGTTTTCTTAACGCAAATTGCGAGAATTCCATAAAAAATCAGCTCAGAAAATGTGTGCCTATATATATATATAATGCCATAATCAAAACTTGTGGTTTAACTTTTGTAGATTAAGGGATAAGCTAGAAACCATCTTCAATGCTCTAGAAGATTGGTGTATTATAACTTAACTGGTTTAAGTTGAGCATCATTTCCGACCTGAACCAGCTCGTTCTAAAGTGAACTAGGTAAGTTCATCAGCAAAAACCTTATGAATGTTACAGATGTACCGATTTTGGGTTTTTAGTCGTCAAAAAATTAGTTTGGGATAAATTTATCACAAGTTAACTAGTTTAGGGTTTTTTGTGATATTAATCCTCTTAAAAATGAACAACAAACTTGCAACCCGGTTTCCTAATCTATCCTAGAACTGGTTGGTTCGGTTCCATATAGGTTTCAGAGTGTCCCAATTTAGATCATGCTCCAAAAATTCTATAGGGGACTTTTATCCCCTCTAGGATTTAGGAATGTCACTTCCCAAGAGGAAAATTTTTTGAAACATCACTACTCTATTCTCCCGTCGACTATTGATAACCAACGTTTCCTGTGAGGCTAAAATATGCAAATTTTACTTTTAGCACCATTCTTGAACAATTTAATTCTTTTGTACATTACTACACACATTTAAAGTAGGGTTAATATCACGAAAAACTCTAAACCGATACACCTGTGATAATTTTACCCCAAACTAATTTGTTGACCACAAAAAACACGACACTGGTACACATATGACAAATTTACCCAAAACTAATTTTTTTATCACCAAAAACCCTAAATTTGTGCATATGTGACAAATTTACCCTATATTAGTTCAGTTAAATTGGATTAATACCACGAAAAATTACAAATTGGTAAACTTGTGACAAATGGAGGATAAAACCCCAAACCGGTACACCCATTAACTGCCACGTATCATCCAACTCAGTAATTTGACGATAAATTTTAACAGAAATTAACGGGGGGTAAAATTGTCATAGGTATACTAGTTTGGAGTTTTTGATGGTCAAAAAATTAGTTTAGGGTAAAATTTGTCACATATGTACCAGTTTAGGATTTTTCGTGGTGTTAACCCTTTTAAAGTAATTATAGTATCACGAGTCAAATGTTCGACTCCCTTTCAATCAATTAGTGGGTTTTCCCTATAAGCGCGTCATGAGATTTAACCATTCTTTCATTGAACCGTGTCGACTTTGCATTCGTTAAGCTACGTTCATCTTGATTATCCTTTAAGTGAAATAGAGAACGTTCGATTCCCCCTTCAATCAATTTGTGGTTTTTCCCTATAAGCGTGTCATGAGCTTTAACCATTTTGTTTTCGACCCATGTCAAGTTTGCATATGTTAAGTTACGTTCATCTTGATTACCCTTTAAATGAATTAGAGAATGTCCGATTCCCTCATCAATCAATTAGTGGGTTTTCCCTATAAGCGCATCATAAGCATTAACCATTCTTTCATCGACCCGTGTCGAGTTCGCATACGTTAAGTTACGTGCATCTTGATTACCCTTTAATAGAAAAAGAGAGTGTTAATCAAGAAGTAAAATATAAAACATGTTCTGAAATTATCATTTCCATCACATGTAGTTCTTTTCGAACTGATATGTAATGCAGCTTCCATTGCAAACATGGCCCCAAACTTCGACTGCTTGTTCTCTAATTCCTTTGCTTTTCTTGTTGCTGGTCTGAATTCAACTTATAACTTTCACGTGGGTTTGGCATTTTACAATAAGATCAGAGGTATGCTGAGTGATAGGTAATGAGTTAGCATAGCTGATTAAAGTTAATTCTCTCACGGATCAGAAAAAGAAAGAAGAAGAAAAAACTCATGTGAATGAACTATTTGAACTGGTAGGGATGGACAGTCGAGAGCCAATTGAGTACATCATCTCATATCACTATAAGCTAAATTCGGAAAATAGGAAGTGGTGTCGAGGTAAAATGGAAAAATGGAAATAGACAATTTTTGGGGGCGATTGTGCATTTCAGTTCCTATCTCCTCTGCCTACTAGGAAAATCCCCAAGGTTTACTTTTAGGAGTAGCATTTGAAGCTTTCTTTGGCATGGACTTTGAGATCTCGCGAATTCCCGAGCCGCCGATTGTGGGAAAAGGAAAAGGAGAATTCAAGGGTTGCGAAGGCCGTGGCGAGGGTGCTGGAGGGGCAGAGATGCAGTGATGTTGAGGGGCTGGGGGGACGGCGGGGGAAGCGTCGGAGGAGGGCATTGGTAACACTTGGTGAAGAGCCCGAACGTGTCGATCTGGTGGATGAAATTGGTCAGGCTTGCCCACCCGCCGAACCCAAACCCAACCACCAGCACCCACCCGACCACGAACATGTTGATCGTGTACGCCCCTATCCATCGGCCCACGAATTTCGGGGGTTGCTCCACCGCGTTCTGCACCACACAAACAATGAAAGATTCCCTTAAGAAAATTGTTTCATGAAAATTCCTTAGGATACATTGCCATTAAATTTTACAGTTTGAATGAATTTCATATTCCAAAATGTAGTAGTGAAATTTGTATGGTACACTGATGAGCAGATTCTCTGCTCTGTGGCAGCTGGAGGACTCCCTTGGTTCTTTTCAGACTTTGTACTATATGGACCATTCATGTCCAACTTACCTTGTCTAGGTAAAAAAACAAGAGAACCCAAAAAAAAAAGTTTTGAACCACTGTTTAAAATGGGTCGGTTGGCATGTCATCATTTGAAAAACTAGCAGGTGTTCGGTGTTCCCACAATAAAAAAGAATAATGAATAATATTGCAATTCTTGAAATTCATCTTATACTAAAAAAAAATAATGCAGAAAAGATGGCATGAAAAGGTGAAAATCTCAGACATCAAATGTATAGGAGAAAGGGCCGGGTCTGGTCTGCTGGACTGTGACCACACGCCATCACTCTGTTTCTTCCCCCTATCTCTTCTACTACACACAACAGCCTTTGTTCATACGCATTAAAACAAACGTGCAGAGAGAGAGAGAGAGAGAGAGGGAGAGATTCTATTCAATTCTTTCCCTAATTCAGTCAAAACTTTCAGAGGCAAACAGCTGTGGCACTGACAAAAAGCATCACTCGCTTTTGCTCAGATTTTCCACAGAGCCAGTGTCACTTTATTTCTTCATTACTGTGGTGAATTCCATACTGGGTCTTGCCTATAACGTTAATAATCTAGGGAAGTTAATGAGAGAGATCAGAGTAAAGATTCAGTGGTTTACTCCCAGAGCCACTGTCACTTCATTTCTTCATTACTGTGGTGAATTGCATACTGGGTCTTTCCTATAATGTTAATCTAGGGGGAGTTAATGAGAGAGATCAGTGTAAAAATTCAGTGGTTTTACCTCCCTAGCAGCTGCGGATTTGAAGGTGAAGATGTGGGCGAGGGCCGGAATGATATAGACGGTGAAGCTGACGAGGAGGGATCCGACGGTGGAGTTGATGGGGCCGAAGAAAGGGAAGATGATGGCCAGGAACCAGATCGGGACGACCACCGGGAGCCTCGCTGCCGCCCGCTTGCACATGCTCTTGCACTCGTGCATCCCTATTGCCTTCTCCCACACGAAGTAGAGCGGTGTGCAGGCGAACCCAAATGTGATGAACTGCACGGAAGCAATGTATATGATCAATGCAAAGGATTTCAATATGGTCGATAAATTATTGAGTTAAGGGAAAAATTAAATGTAGTGGATATGCAAGATTGATCAAATCTGTAATTAACAATAATACTTTCTACCAATAATTTGTCTACTTATAAGTTTAGGAATCATAGAGTTAACAAAGTCGAAGCCGACGAAACCTACTTGGTGAATGAGCATCAGAATGACGGCCATATCACGGAACGGCGACCTGGGGAGGAGCGAGAAGGCGTTGGCGTGGTTGAGGAGCATATCACCGAACGCCCAGTAGACCGCCGACGCCGACGGAAGGGTCAGGGTCAGCACATACACCGTCGCCAACAAGTATATGGCCTTGAACTTCTGGGGCTTCCACATCGCGTGCATGATTTCCCTGCACCAAGAAAGACAAATTAATTTCAGAAAATTGGTATCTCTAGATGGAAAATATTATTTTTATTTTTTTAATTTTTGGGTCCTTCGACTTTTTATTATTATTATTTTTCCTGGGACAACATTAATGCCAGCTTCTAACGCTAAGAGGTCCTTTCATGAAAACAGATCCCTTTTGGGATGCCCCTCATGATAAAAGCAAAAGCAACATGAGAAAGATCGATTGACTTTTCTCCCCATAAAGGAAAAAAGTCTTCAAATTTTACCAAGAAGGACAATAATTTCTTTTTTATGTCATTTTCACCCCCCCTTCTTTTCACCGACAAGAGAAAAGAAGGAAGAAAGAGACAATGAATGAGCTTCTTGATGGCGATTGGTTGCATGATGGATCGCAAGGGGTCAGATCGTGTCCCTCAGGAAGCGCAAGTTCTCTGGCTCCGGTCATTTTCGGACCGGCTTTAAGATAATGTTTTCGAGCAAATTATTAAGAGCGACACAGCATGAACATGAACATGAACATGAACATGAACATGCAGATTTGTAAATAACGTAAAGGACATGGACTGGACAATAAATAGTATAAAATCACTTGAGACAGCACTTACACAGTGACAGCGTGTCCCCCAAATGTGTAGAGAATGTTTGTGGCCCCGGTGAAGTACAGGACCATCTTGGTCGGACCCGAGTGCTTGACCCCTTCCACCTAATCAGAAAAAATTTCAAAATTTCATAACAATAACAACAACAACAAGATATGATTAATTTAGTCACTTGATTTGTGGAAACGGTTGGCTTATGTGTTCGCTCAAATTCACATATTCTAGCCCTTGACAACATGGACGAAAGATTTCTAACATGCAACGAAATCTACTGTCATCGTGAGATCTAGTGAGTCCCTCCCGACCCTACATGTGTCGATCGTTTGACCGGCTCCGTCCACCACGGGACGGTGCTAGCGCGCCCGGACCGAACGTACAATGATCAAGGAGCATGCAATGTTGGAGCATCAAGAGCCATATTCGGGTGTGTGGTGGAATTTGCGTTACCTGGCCGTGGAGGAGGGAGGCGATGGTGAGGTACCAGGCGGTGTAGGTGGTCATGACGAGGCCGAGGAAGGACCAGATGCGGTAGTTGTGGAAGGAAGGGATGAAGACGGTGGTGGCGCAGCACGCCCCGAAGATGTACGTCCACGTCCTCTTGTCCAGGTTGTCGTTTATGTAGTATATGTTGCTGCATTTCCACAAGATTGCAGAGATCACAGACCGAAAACATATTCACATCATTCCGATTCTCTCCCTTTCTCTCTCTCTCTCTCTTTAATGGGTGTTGCATGAATATTATAAAGATTGAGGAGGATAGAGATGAAATAGCAGTCAGAGAGAGAGAGAGAGAGAGCAGAGAGGACAAGGAGAGACCTTGCGCAGGCTATGAGCTGAATGACAGAACCAAACAGAAGGAAAGTGCAGTTAAACGCCAGACCCACGTTCCTCCAGTGCTTCCCCAGCAGCCCATCCAGAACTTCAAACCACTGAAAACGATACAGGAAGGACATGAAACAGGGCATAAAGAAGGAAGAAGAAGAAGACGTGGGTGCTTCTGGGATGGGCTTTTATTCGAGTTTTGCTGTTGTTCTTGTTGTTGTTGGGTGGATTACCTGAATGACATGGTTCCTGAAATCGGCTTTTTCTCGCTCTTTCCTGGTTCTGTACTCCACGTAAAGGGCACTGATGAGGTACGCAGTCCAGCTCCCCAGCAAGCCATAGAAGAGCTGGAAGAGTATGCCCGAGAGCATCCCGAGCTGGGAGAAGGAGTAGGGCAGCGTGAGCAGGACCTGAGCCACCTGAGACACACAGCAATGGAACAGTTGATCGGGGAGATGTTCATCACTACCGAAACGGCCAAAGAAATCCCTAACCAAACAGTGATCTTTATGTGAATCTTGCAGATAACCCATCTCAGGTGAAAAGGGACTAAGAAGGGATGGAATTAGATCTGATTGTGGGAAACCTGGTTTGAAGCGCAGCTGAACCAAGCATCGTAGACGGAACCGCCGTGCCAGAAGAAGTTGGACATCTTGGTCTTGACGCTCGTGGGCTTCCCTTCCTCCGCCTCCATCTCCTCATAGTTCCCCACTATCACTGTCTCCACCACCTTGTCGCTCGCCATCTCTCTCTCTCTCTCTCTCTCTCTCTCTCTCTCTCTCTCTCTCTGCTGTGGCTTCCTCTAGTTGGGGCGACTGACTTGGGGAGTAACTAGACAGCAAGCATGCTGCGAGTCTGAGAAGCAAAGGGGAAGAGGAATGGGGGGTCTGAAGAAAGAATGGAAGTTGGTGGTGTTAATATATAGGTGGATCGATTGGGACAGGATTCGCTAAGGCTGAGGAAAGGCTGTGTCTCCTTTGAAAGGTATGTTAGAGAGAGAGACAGAGAGATGTTTTGGGAAGCGAGCAAAGTATAAGCCATTTCTTTCTCTTTTTTTTTTCCTTTTCCTTTCTTAATTAACGTATGCTATTGCTTGTATGGAAAATAAAAAACATTGCATGCTCAAAGACCAGCCCATTTCAACCTTTGATCATATATTCGACAAAAAAAATAATAACAATACAAATGATCCCTAAACTTTAATTCGATATGCGATGTGATCCCTGAACTTTTAATTTGTTAAACGTGGCCCTTGAACTTAAATTAATACTAAGGATAATATTGAATATTTTCATATAGTTCAAGAATTAAGTGGAGCATGTATAAAAAAAATTAAAAGTTCATGGACTACATTGTACATCGGGTTAAAGTTCAGGGACCAAACTAGATAAATTAAAAGTTCAGGAATCATATTACACATTAAATTAAATTTCATGGACCATTTGTATTTTTTTTCCTCAAAAAAAAAAAAAAAGAGCCTTTGATCATGTGGACTTTAGCATGAGACCCTCGTGACAACAGCTCGCTTGTAAGGTTGTGACCGATGAACCTGTTTACAAAGACGAACACAAAGGAGCGATGGACGAAGATGAAAGAGCCTAGCATTGCATGAACTCACGCACATGTATGGATTAGGAGCTCAACATAAATTTGATTAGGTGCTTTCCATTTGCATTTTTTCTGACTAAATTGTAAATATAAGTCTTTATTGCACTCCCCACGCTTATTTTGCTCTCGATCTAATCCCTCTTTTTTCAACTTTGCAAAGACGGGGTAGCAAAACACCTAATTCAAGCGTTGCTTACGTCTCCGTTCCACCGTTTAAAAAACCTCTTGTGCGCACACACGAATCCGACACGGGACCGAAACCCTTGCGCCACGATCGACTTTACATTCTTATCACGCGGGCCAATATCGTGACTCGAGTCGAAATTAGCGATGTATTTCACAACTCGAGATTCATCCCACATAAAAAAGTTAAAGTAAATTTTCATTAGAGAGTAAAAGAGTGATGGTGGGCTAGAAATGGTGAGTCCGACGAGCCAAGTTGTGGTCTTCGATGCCTTTGTTGCATTGAAGACTTTTGGAGTTTAGCTCATGATTAAAATAATACTGTGCATTTTGGTGGAACTCTCCCTCTTCTTAATTGATTTTTCTTAGGGAGCGTGAGCGGCTTCTCCGCACGAGCGGGTCTCCACGCTTCCCAACCACGAAGTGTCACAATTTTTTGCTTTGATTAAATTGGCCACTTTCCCCCTTTTTTCTTGCAAATTAATTTGTCTAATTAAGCCACGTGGATTATTTGTAATCCATTTTTTACGCAAGATGAGAAAAAGAAAAGGATAAAATTTCCAAATAAGAGCCTGAAGTTCCCTTACTTTCTTAAATAAAAGCTTAAAGTGAACATTATTTCAAATAAGAACTTGAAGTGCTCTCTCAAATGAATACTCTTAATTGGTATTTTCCCAAAGAAAAGGAGATGGATCTCATGCCCAAAAATGAAAAAGAGTGAATGAAATTAGCCACGAATAGCGTATAGTACCACGGCTTGGTTTACCATAATAGAAACTGCCTTGCCACGTTAGGCATGACTCGGTGCGGTTAGCATCGCAAGCACCTCTCAAATTCGTGTGTAAGAGCGCTTTGAAGCATAGTCGACAAGCACGCGACCGCGAGAAATTAACAATCATTCGTCACCATCTTTGGGGGTAAATAAGGAATTAACTTAGAAGGAAGGTCGAAGAAGCTTTGGGTTTCCAATCACATTCGCCATACGTTGATCAATTGTATAAAAGATTGGGGCAATTTTCGAGACCAAGGTTAAAATAAGGGCGAGGCACGCGATGGCAAGGGGTAGAGACAATTTGGCAGAAGACCCTCCTTTTGTTTTCGAAAAACAAGGTAAAAAGAAGAAGAAGAAGAAGAAGAAGAAGAGAGAGAAAGGGAGAGAGAATATGCAAGAACGAGAAGGAACAAGTGAAGGGAATTATAACAAGGTAGACCGCATGATTGCAGCCAAACGGGCGTGGTCGCTTTACAAGAAGATGAAAGCTGCTTTTCTCACATGGCATAGCTCTTGCTTGAATTCCATAATAATAATAATAATTATTATTATAATTATAATAACAACAATTGTAATGATAAAAATTATAATAATATTTATCTTTTCTACCCCCTCTCTCTCTTCTTCGTTTGCGCAAAACCCGAAAAGTCTATACTCACATGCACTCTATCTATCTATCTAATAAGATAAATATGTGTATATATCTTATATATATAGATATATAAATAGATTTAATAAATATAAGGAGCCAATTTTAGGAGTGGTTAGACCATCATGTGCCCTTGGAAAGAGCATCGGGTAATTAGTCTATAGTATATTGTGGAGAAATTTGTCTTGGTATGCTCTTCATATTCCCTACTTTCTCTTGGTTCAGTACAACTTATTATTTCGCCTCTTCTTGAGAATAGTAATCTTATCTTGCTCTTTCATCTTCCTCGTGTAGCAATTTATTTTGATTGTAGTTTGGGTAGCTAACCTAGCGAATTAAACGGGTCGGTTTCGCGGAAAAAAATCATATCTAGAGTGAAATTACGGATATATGATTTGAAAAGGCTCGAATTTAGTGAGACGTGTGGTGAGAATACGAATAGGTAAATCTCGTATGTTGTAATAAACTAGAGAGAAAAGCACATATTTACGTATGCAATCCTTTTCATTATTTTTATTGTGATTAGGGTAACTAACCTAGCGCATTAAACGGGCCGATTTCGCGGAAAAGATCATATCAAAGTAAAATTACGGGTATATGATTTGAAAAAGCTTGAATTTAGGGAGACACGTGGTGAGAATATGATGAATCGCGTATTTTATAATAAACTAGCGAGAAAAGCACATATTTATGTTTGCAAAGATGGAAAGAAAAATTGAATAAAGGAAGAGAAATTGTGATTTGGCTTGTTTCAAGATATTAGTTTTAATTGTTGAAGACTATGGAATGCTTAAATGTAGATTTTCTATCTATAAGAGGTTGATGGGCTATTGTACGGACTCTTTTACATTACCATTTGACTCATTGTATAGGAAAAAAGAGAGGTTATTATCTGTTGGGTACCAATTATGGATATTATCGGAACATTCTGAAAAAAAATTGGAGGTTAAAAGGGGTGGATGGGTTTGCTTCAAAATGTACTAGCAAATTAGCACACGTGTTGGGTATGACAAGAAATAGTTCAAAAGCAAAATTGATAAATAATAAAATAATAGGTGTGATAAATTTACCAAAAACTAATTTTTTGACCACAAAAAACCTCAAACTAGTACACTCGTGACAAATTTACCCTCTGATAATTTTCGTTAAATTTTACAATCAAATTTTTGAATTGGACACTACGTGGCAATTGATGAGTATACTAGTTTGGGGTTTTACCCTCTATTTATCATAAGTGTAATAATTTATGATTTTTCGTGATATTAATCTAATTTAATAAAGGAGTTTTGGGTTTTTGGTGGTTAAAAAATTAGTTTGAGATAAATTTATCATAGGTATATCAGTTTGAAATTTTTTGTGGTCAAAAAAATAGTTTAGGGTAAATTTGTCACATGTGTACTAGTTTATGATTTTTCGTGGTATTAACTCTAAAATAATATATAAAGATTTTGATCCATTTTTTAAAATAATCACGATTGTCTTTAAGGAAAAAGATGAGAGATTTATGGAAAACTTGGCAATCATTTTCACTTTAAAATTAGAAAGTAAGAGATTCATTGATTACTTTTTAATCATCTCGATTATCATAAACTACGATTTTATATATATATATATATACAAAATTATATATATATACAAAATCGTAGTTTATATATAGTTATGTGTGGTCATAAGGTATTTTATATATATACATGGGTTTTTTTAGTAGAATATCTTTTGTAAAAGTTCGAGGTTAAAGTGACCATTGGGTAATTGATATTAGTATATTTACGGATACAGGTAAAAAATTGCATGTTCTTTTAAATCATTATAATGTCGAAATTTGCGTAGCTATTTAATGTCCCAATGTGCTGTCTAACACCGAAATGTTGTTAGAAATTGTACAATGCATATAATGTTGTCATACCGCTGGTTTGAGTTTCTTTTTTAATTTGGAACCAGATTTCGTTTGTTTCGCGAAAAATAAAAAATTTGAAAAGCATTTTCCTAAAAAATGTTGGGCTGTGTTGCTTACAAAAATGACTATACGAAAAATATTTTCATCGTCCATGAAAATGTTTACACATAAATTATTGTCAATAATAATAACATTTTCTATTGACTAATTATTTCAAGCGATGCAAGCAATTATTTTTAGGAAAATGTTATCCAAATCTTTCATTTTACAACACCCAATTATTATGCTAGCCAACCCTTTGTTCGTTATGCCGAAGGGATCATACTTAAGAAACATCATGAATGTTGATGCTTTTTCTTTTTAGTTCGAGAACTCAACCGATCGCCAAAATTTGGCCTATATTTAAAAGGGTAAACAATAATTTTCTAATTTTATATATGGATTTTATCAAAAAGCCTTATTATACCAATGTTGTCGTATCAGTCGAAAGGCTAATTTTTGAACCTTCGATCCGACGACCCGTTTTCGGCATTATCAGGAAGTTTGCGATCTCTCGATTGTTAAATTACAACAGAAAAATGGAGGTTACAAGCTTGCCAACGCAACAAAAATTAACTCAATTGAACAAAAGACGAAAGCGTAATTTTTGGTCCAAGTATGGTTAAACTTTCATGAGGTCCAATTCAATCTCGGATGCCTGCAACCATAACTAGGGCATCACGACTGGCACGAAACTTTCCAAATCTCTTAGATACGAGATGATTCAAGCTATTTTTATGATGGCTTGATATCAAAAGGTAATGTTACCCACCCATGGATAGCTCAGTTGGTTAGGGCGTACTTGAGATTGTGTGGTTAGGCGCACTGGTCCCAGGTTCGATTCCCC